GAAAAAGTGTCACGTTCCGCCTGAGCCTTAGCGTGCAAGCGAGAGAGCGGAACAACGGATAGATAGCCACGATCGGCCTAAGCGTTGGCTTGTGACACATTTATCACTCTTCTCACGTGACGTCAGAGCCAGCAGTTTGAATAGTTTTGCTACTGACGTTATCACATAAACCTATCGTCCGTACAGCCGATCCCGACTTTACAGACAACTAATATTTCTATAATTTATTTATTAAATCATCTGATCATTGGCAGAAATAGCGGGTACAGAATACTGTACAAGTTATTAAAAAAAATACATTTATTTTAATTGCGCTTTTAAGAAAATTCTCGAAGCCATTTTAATTATTTTCTCATTTGGCCAGACGACATTAAGTAGACAACTCTATTTTCTCCCTTTTTATTTATTCAAAGCTATCTTTAATTCTTAAGAAATCTTCAAATATAATTAAAAAAATACAAATGTCTGTAATATGTTTTTAAATGGATGCGTCACGTTCTACGGCGTAGCTCGCCGCTACGTGCTACGAATATCGTAGAGTGCTAACGAATATTATTCAAAGTGTAATTAGTGCTTTTGTGCCTTCAACGCGCACTTCGTTTCAAATGTTAACGCATTGACATGCTATTTATACTCTACACAGAGTAACTTTACTGGTAGTAGGACCTCTTGAGAGTCCGCGCGGGTAGGTACCACCGCCCTGCCTATTTCTGCCGTGAAGCAGTAATGCGTTTCGGCTTGAAGGGCGGGGCAGCCGTTGTAACTCTATACTGAGACCTTAGAACTCATATCTCATGGTGGCTGGCGGTATTTACGTTGTAAATGTCTATGGGCTTCGGAAACCACTTAACACCAGGTGGGCTGTGAGCTCGTCCACACATCTAAGCAATAAAAAAAAACTTTAATCAAAGTTATTGTTGGCATATTATATCATAGTATTTATTAGTGCTTTGACTTTAAGTTGAAAATATAATAGTGTTCCGAAATCAGTACCTACCTCAAGTCATTATCTGCCTATTTCTGCCGTGAAGCAGTAATGCGTTTCGGTTTGAAAGGCGGGGCAGCCGTTGTAACTATACTGAGACCTTAGAACTTATATCTCAAGGTATGGCGGCATTTACGTTGTAGACGTCTATGGGCTTCGGAAACCACTTAACACCAGGTGGGCTGTGAGCTCGTCCACCCATCTGTGCAATTAAAAAAAAAGCAACAAAAATCATCATAATTTTGTATGATTAAAAGTTGTTTTCCATCAGGTGCTCTTCAAGTGCAAATATTATTACTTCCAAAATCCCTATCACGTGTTTCGGATCCCGAGCATGAGTCGTGGGCGATTCCAAGAACGCCTAACGCTTCAGTGAACTTAAGATACTTTCGGCTATTCAAAAATAAGCTGCTTATTAACAAACAAAAAAGTATTTTCACTTGCTTAACAAAAGATTTATGTGTTAATAATAATAATATATGCTTTATTAATTTAACACAAACACCGATATTATTAAATCCGATTATAAATTTAAATCAGTTTAATATTACAGCTACAAAATTTACTAATAATTTCATTAACCTTTTTTTACGATTACACAAGTTAATCATTTCGAATTCAATTAAAAATAGCATTTTAATTACGTACCTGTTACTTTAAATAAATAAATAACTAATAATAATATAATAAATAACAAATCATGCACGATCATCCGACCTCAAATTAGGATTCTGTATTATGGGTATAAGAGACTGACATACGTTTGTTTTTTTTTGTTTTTTTATTGCTTAAATGGTGGACGAGCTCACAGCCCACCTGGTGTTAAGTGGTTACTGTAGCCCATATACATCCACAATGAAAATGCGCCACTCACCTTGAGATATAAGTTCTAAGGTCTCAAGTATAGTTACAACGGCTGCCCCACTCTTCAAGCCGAAACTCATTACTGCTGCTGCTGCTTCACGGCAGATATGTTCATCACACGAATGTTTGTCCGATGTGGGAATCAAACCGACGACTATCCTTAGGTCCTTTGTATGAATTCAGGGCTGTCATTGAACGCTTGAAACAATTAATAAAATTGGTTTGTGTATGAAACCACTAATTGCGACTTAGATATTTTCTAATATTTTTAACGTGATCTACATTACTGATATTATAGCCACGCTTCGATTTGATATATCCATTATTATTATTATAGTGTATTAAACACTGCCACGCCTGGGAAGACGGCAGGACACACTCCGGCGAGGTGGGCAACAATCGGCCGGAGCGTTAGGGACTATTGGGAGAGAAACCGGCGAACTATACGGGCATTGTCGAGCAAGACTGCTTTTTGCATTTGGGCCACCAAATTATTATTATTATTAATACTTTATTTCAGTTTTTTTTTTTAAACCATAACATTTTCTTAGTAATAATTACTTATAATCTATGTTAGTAACTTAAAAAAATCTAACACATAACTATCATTATATTATATTATTATGACCCCTGCATAAACAGGTAAACAAGAACGGACAAAAGAGTTAAGTAGGTACTGTTTTCTTATCTCATTTTGTTTTGTTTATTAGCTATTCGCAAACTTACAACGAAGAAGTCATTGTCAGTGCCAGTTTACAGGGGGTTATAATTGAGACTACAACGTCGAGTCTTGAGACGGGTTACGGTATTCATGTGGTGATGTCCATGGGCTCCACTATTATTTACTATACGCCATATGAGGCGCGAGCTACTTGACCCTTATAAGCCATAAAAATAATTCTGTATTTTGCTCCCGATTCCTTAATCATGACTGGTTTGTGTTGAGACTTGTTTACTGGTGGTAGGAGCTCTTGTGAGTTCGCACGGGTATGTACCACCACCCCGCCTATGTCTGCCGTGAAGCAGTAATGCGTTTCGGTTTGAAGGGTGAGACAGCTGTTGTAACTATTCTAGATCTTAGAACTCATATCTCAAGGTATAGATGTCTATGGGCTACGGTAACCGCTTAACACTAGGTGGGCTGAGCTAGTCCACCCATCAAAGCTATAAAAAAAAAGACCATGTCACCATCTGGTTTGGTTCTGTAGTGTACCATAAATACGGTTTGAAGGATATTAGCCTTTATTACATTGTAATTGAGATTTGAAATCAGGTTGGAAGAGGGCTCGGCTCAGTGCGACATTGGCGGTATGCGCTGATGTATCCTGGCTTTATCACAGGACGTGCTCTATTGTAAATTATAGGATACTCATTATAATGCAATGTAGACTCCGACCACAATTACCGTCCATAAGTTCATTTAAGTATCTAAGCAAGTATAGTATCAAATAGTAGTGTGCGAGTGAGACAGACTCAGTGCTCGCTCTCCCTCGTTTTTCCGTGTATTTTATTTTCCATTTATTTTATTTTCTTTGTTGTTTCGTTGTAGGCGGTGTTTCTTGAGCCCTATGACATGTCCTTCTTCAAACGAGGCTTGTGGAGAGTATTAAGCAGTAGGCAGCAGCTTGGCTCTGCCCCTGGCATTGCTGAAGTCCATGGGTGACGGTAACCACTCATCATCAGGTGGGCTGTATGCTCGTCTGTCTACAAGGGCAATAAAAAAAAAGGCTGCCCACAGGTTGTTATTGCTGTGTGTGCTATGTGTGGTGGGTAGCCATCATACAACGCAAGATGTTTGACAGATGAATCTCGCTTATAACGCTTATATTTTCAAGATAAGCTTGCATATATACAAGTTCCGAGCAACAACATTAGTTAACCCTCAGACACAGCCCACTGAGTTTCTCGCCGCATCTTCTCAGTGGGTCGCGTTTACGATCCAGTGGTAGATTCTGCGAAGCACGGCTCTTGTTAGGGTTCGTGTTAGCAACGTCGTCAGGTTTCAGCCCCGTGAGCTCACCTACTAGTTAATAAGGTTATGCTGAAATAGCCTCTAAAGGCTCTCAGCTTAGGTAGGAAAAAAAAAACATTAGGACTGTCGGTTTACCGGGCAATATCACCCGCTCGGTGGAAGATCTTTCTTTTCGTCTTTTAAGCCTCCCCACACTAGTGACCTGCGATGGAACAATTACAGCCTTCACACTCATCAGCAGCGCATCAAGAACTTCGGTCACCACCATTCGTGCATTCTCGCAGATAAAAAACAAAGTCATTAACAGCCGTCCCACATATGTTTGTATTCGGGTTTTCCATTTTATTTGATTTTTATTATTTTTACTCATTTTTATACTACTTTATACCATGTTCTGAGTCTGTACACACGTACCTAGCCTTTATTCCCGCAATGAACCAAAGGGAAACGGGGGTGACTGAAAATCAGCGTTGTTCGATTTATCGAATGTGAAAAGGATTAACTTATGCCTTTTTCTTTGTTTTCTTTTTATATTATATTTTATTTAGTGTGAAAGGCAATTAATGATTTTATTATAATTATTATTTTATGTAACCAGTAGGGGCGATATTATTATTATTATTCTGGTGGTAAGACCTCTTGTGAGTCCGCGCGGGTAGGTACCACCGCCCTGCGTATATCTGCCGTGAAGCAGTAATGCGTTTCGGTTTGAAGGGCGGGGCAGCCGTTATAACTATACCTTAGAATTTATATCTCAAGGTATGTGGCGCATTTACGTTATAGATGTCTATGGGCTCCGGTTACCACTTAACACCAGGTGGGCTGTGAGCTCGTCCACCCATCTAAGCAATAAAAAAAAAAGTTTCTAAAAGGGGGAGGGAAGGGGGAATGGAGATATAGGGGATTCAATAAAAGCATTCAATTTCGAAAGTTATAGTTTATATTAGATTTATAATAAGATATGTAGTCTACAAAAATTCACAAATTTTCACAACGTTATTTGAACCTAAAGCGTCTATCCATAATTTTTATTTATTTATTTATTACGAAAATAAAATTATCGAAANAAATGTTACCAAAAGGGGGAGGGAAGGGGGAATGGAGATATAGGGGATTCAATAAAAGCATTCAATTTCGAAAGTTATAGTTTATATTAGATTTATAATAAGATATGTAGTCTACAAAAATTCACAAATTTTCACAACGTTATTTGAACCTAAAGCGTCTATCCATAATTTTTATTTATTTATTTATTACGAAAATAAAATTATCGAAATCACTGGATCTAAATAAGTACGACGGAGGCTGATTTTACGTAACCATTATTTTTAAAATATAATCTAATAGGCAGTTAGTTACTCGCGACCCTTAACATGAGTAAGTCAAAAACTAATTACGGTAAAAAAATAAAAAAATATCAATCCATAAAAACAGCCTCCCGTGAGTCAAACGTCTCATCATACACAAACATTATTATTTATTATATCGTTATATTTAACTAGAGTTATACAGAATAATGCTTCCTATTCAATATAATTATGCATTCTTTAAATTTATTCAATAATATAATCATAATAATAATAATAATAATACTTAATAAGTATCAATAGGTAATGGTTATAATCAATGTCGTGCTACAGACTACTATAGTTATACAATAATGAATGAATCGTATTAATTCTTTATCATTTAATTATTATTTAAATTTCTAGTCGAGATATATGATATAAGACTAAGAAAGTCGCATAGAGCAGCCTCTGGCCGCGCTCCCTGCGCAGCCGCACTATTCACAAACAAAACATCGTCAACACATAAAATAATAATCAATAATAATAATCGTACAGATAAAAATCATCCATAAAAACATTACAATAAAAATCTAAACATTAAAACACACTTAAAACAAACATTATATTAATATTATAGTAATCATAGTGTGTACGTATTGTATAATATCATTTAAGCGAATAATCGTATAGTCAAAAATAAAGTGAGCATCGCGCGCGGGGGAGCGGTGAGACGCGGTGAGGCGCGGTGAGCATTCGTGAGCACCCAACCGACGCGCCACTCGACACAACCGCATTAACTAACATTACCTACTCGCCACTCACAGAGACTCACTCCACTAACTACTCGCACTAAACATTCAACTAACCACCCGCGCGACCGCTCCCCGCGCCGCCCGTCCTCGCCTATCATATTATTATTATAATATCTTAATACTTTACGCTATTACGTTAGGTAAGCTTTATAAATTTTCGATTTCTCATTTACGCTATCAATAATCATTATACAACTTTTTTTAAATTTTATGATTTTTTTTCGAAATTCTATCGTAACGTTACATCGACTCTCTCTGAGCCGAGGAGCGCTGTGTGCGCCCCTCGATCTAATAAAAAACGTTCATAATAAGAAAATATATCGTGAACAACTCTGCCGACTTACGATAGGTACGGCGCGGCGGACGGGCCGTGCCGGCGAGGCGCCGACTTTGGCACCAGGATTTCGATTACGCATTTTTTTACATCTTTTAATATTTTATAATAACGATTCGAGTAAAAAAGATCTCCACGTCGAGAAGGTGCGAGGGGGCGAGACCCCGCGGCGGCGGGCGGCGAGCGCGGCCCGGGCCCTCGCCCTCGCGACTCGCACGCGCCTTACGAGATGATGCGGATCGCCTGGTGCGCCGGCGACGAGCACGCGGGGCACGGCGCGCCGCCCGTCGCCAGCCGCTGCGCGCACTCCATGCAGAACAGGTTGTGTCCGCACGGCACCAGCGCCGCCGCCACGCCGCGCTCCCCGCACACCCCGCACGCGCGGGCCGGAGACGTGGACGGCGAGGGCCGGGTCGGGCCCCACGCCCACACGCCCGCCGCGCCGCCCGGAGACTCGAACGACGGCGACTCGCCCAGACCCTCGTCACGCTCGGTCGAGGACCAGATCCCGAGCAAGTCACCGAGCCGGCCGGAGGAGCCTCCCGACGAGCACGAGCCGGCTGACGAGAAAGCCGCTTCTTGTTCTGGCCGCAGCAGCGAGACGATCCCGGCCCGGTACAGCTGTGCGAGCGGCTCGCTCTCGTCGACCGGCGTCGCGGGCCCCGCGTTCCCGGCGCCGGTGCGCAGGGCGATGTGCGCCTCGATCTCCTTGCGCGCCGCTTCCACACTCTCGGGCAAGCCGGTCACCTCGAACACGGGCTCGCGCTCGCGGGACGGGGTGACGATGTATGTGTGAGTGGTGTGTTGGATGCGTTTGATGGTGGCACCCTTGGGTCCGACGACCAGCCCGACCACGCGGTAGGGCACGCGCACCTGCGCGGTGACGTGTCCGGGCGCGCCGGCGGGCGGCGGGGGCGCGGACCCGCACTTGCGCGACGCGCGAATCTGAGAGAAGTGCTCAGCCGCCGAGAGGATCTCACGCTTGGCGCGCGCGACGTCCTCCTTGCGGCCGGTGACCACAAACACGGGCTCCTCGCCCCTCACCGGTGTCTTGATGTAAGTGTTAGTCTTCGCTCGCAAAGCTTTAATCTTGCACCCTGAAACAATTATATAAGAGTACGTTAGCATACAGAACAGACAGATATTTGCATGATGTGGGCGCCCGTCAGGGAACCCTTTAAATTCAAGGTTAGTCGCATGAAATGTATCAAAGCGGTCGTGGCATTGTACGCAAGTCAAGGCCATCAGACAGTATAATATACTACAGGTATGATGGAATGGAGATGTGGGCCTGGACGCCCCAACCCCTCCCCCCTAGCTGAATTCAATATTTAGTGAATACGCAAGCCCTGACCAACTAACCGACTCGCCGTCATTCGACGAAGAGCTATCGACGAGTGAACTGCATCGGATCACATTACATAAAATTTACAATCAAATAGGAATATTCAACAAATTTATCGACTTTATCATTCATTTCCAAGTCAGTTACCAAACTTACAATGTTAGATTACATTGTGAACGCAAAAGAAAACATGGTGATGCTAAAACCGATTACACGGCATTTCATCTCGTACTGGCTCATTGTAGTCTAGATGTGGCGTCTCGTTCGCTCGACTTACCCCAATGCGACAAAGAGGTTATACTGCTGAGGCCGCAGTTTGGCTTTGCACACGAGTATTCTGATTATTAAATATTTATCATTACTGTTGTGAAAGGCGGTTTCAACTTTTTACTAATTTATTGTGAATCTTAATTGACTATTGCTTGAAGTCATTTCTGTTGAACATTATTAACTCTTTCCTGTATCGTGCAATAAATAAGATAATAAATGAACTAACTTAAATATAGCTTCAATTTAATTTGGTCATTCAAGGATCTTTTATGGTGATAATTTTTATAGACCTGCGTGAGTTACTGCTAGTACTTTCCCTAATAGTCGGTAGCTACGGACCTAATAGTTTCCTGATATTCCGCAGGGTGCCAGAAATCGTGTTGCACCAACTTCATTTAGTAGAACAAGGAACAAAATAATTCGATTACGTTTTCTGAGGAATAAAATCGATTTTAATGAAAAATATATTAATGGTTTTTTTTTTTCAAAACACTATGACGATATAAAAGCGAGAACGGACATGGAACTCGCGTAGAAATCATATATTACGTGCGTCTGCAAATGGGAAAGGCCTACATATAATGGGGTAGTTTTGTGACTCACGGGTTGTCGACCCCGGCCGTTAACCTGCTGACCTCCACTAAGCCATTCTCTTCTTTACGATCATTCACAAACGGTTTATTTTTGGATAAGCATTTCCTTTCGGGTGGATATGGCGTATTTATTTTAGACCGTATTGCAAAGGGATAGGGTTCGACGGAAAGGAAGGTTCAAAATGTTTTTGAACTAATAACCCTGATTGGAACGAATGTTTGCTTTGATTGAGAATGATCCCGATCATGCAATCATACTTTATGGCGTTTTCATTGTAAACAATATGGTTCGAAGTACTATTCCCCAAAACGTTGACATGGGATTCTTAGGAATATTTATTACTTTAGTGATTCTCTGGTTGGACACTGTCCGAATCTGTAACTCTTTAAACTTTTGGTCTGGGTTTGGGATAAATAAAATTCCGTCAAAGTACAACTAAAAACTGTATTCAACACTTAGAACAATTCAACCACTTAACAAACATTTTAAAACTCTCAATTTGCTTCTTTGGCTTCGCTTCAGGTGATCCGTTCGCTGTTTCGCTTCGAGTAGTTCCGATTCACTGCATCTCTGCAACGCTTTTATAGCCGATACCACATCCCTAGAATTATCGAGAATATTCCACACGTTTCGAGTATTGTGTTTCCGCTATCTGACAATAGATGGCGCTGTACTTCTCGAGCGTTCTAGGTGCAACTAGATCCTTCTATATTCGTTCGACTATTCGGCGATAGATGGGTTACTCTTATCGGCATAAAAATAGTATAGCTTCAGTTTTTCTTTAATTTTTCAACTAATGCACCTACAGTGTTCCTATCGGCATCATCCTTGGTCGACTGGTAGAAAATGCTTTCGACGTTAAGTCCACTAATACATTTCGGATCCTCCCGATCCACTAACGGTGCCTTTAGGTATCTCAAGCACCGGTCACGGTTCCCGTCGAACCCATCGCTTGCGATGAAGGGCTCGGCGAGCGAATTAACTCATAGACACAGCCCACTGAGTTTCTCGCCGGATCTTCTCAGTAAGTCGCGTTTTTGATCCGGAGGTAGATTCTGCGAAGCACTGCTCTTGCCAGAGTTAGTGTTAGCAGCGTCGTCAGGCCCCGTCACCTAGTACCCGGTGAATCTAGTGTGACCCCTTGAGGTTACTAGAATTGATAGGGAAAAAAATACAATGTACAATAATGTGCATGAAGTGTAATAAATATGTATAGTGACAGTAGAAAGGGCGAAGAAGCGGGGTGGTAGTTGGCAAAGAACCAGATCCTACGTCCTTCAGACCGAGGTCCGCCGTTAGAAATGTTTTCACTCAAATATATGTTGAATATTCTCTCGCTCGGGTTCGCAGACATCAGACATCTGCAGATAAAAAACTTAAACAAAATTTTGCGCATCGTATTATTCCGAACCGATCTTATGGGTTAGACGAGGTGACGAGTGATCCTATAGCCTGACGGTATCATTTTACTGTATTATCATCGGAACTACAGATCATCACCAAGCGTTAAGATTATCAATAAATTAGAAATGGGTATGATAAGTTAACAGAAATATATCGTGAATTCATTATCATTAATTGAAATTAGTCGTCATTGTCTATAAGAACTCTCTGTGTACTCGCATCAAGCGATTTAACTTCCGCTATTAAAAAAAGGAGCCAATAGACATCTACAACGTAAATGCGTTATCCACTTTGAGATATAAGTTCTAAGTTCTCAGTATAGTTACAACAGCTGCCAAACCCTTCAAACCGAAACGCATTACTGCTTCACGGCAGAAATAGGCAGGGTGGTGGTACCTACCTGTGCGGACTCACAAGAGGTCCTACCAACTAGTAATTACGCAAATTATAATTTTGCGGGTTTGATTTTTGGAACGAAATTCCTTATCGCGCGTTGTGAAAGGGGGCTAGACGGAAAAAATTCTTACGAAAAGTTGTCACGACACTTTTTAGATCCGTCATTCTGACCAATCAACGTGTAGGTGCTTATCGCGTGACATTGCTCGTATCCGATTGGTCCGCGTAATGAGTACAGTTTCTCAAGATAGCGTTTCAACAATAGTAATTTAGTTCATAGTATTGTTTTTTTCTTCTTCATAATGCCGTAATTTATTATTATAACTTAAAAAAAATAATTACAATTCCTTCACTAATTAATCGAAAGGAACTTCGTTCCATCCGGGTGTCCCTTGACACCTCTGAAGTTTTTATTACATGATGTTATTCCTTCACCGTGGAAGTCAATCGTGAACATTTGTTAAGTACATACGTATTTCATTAGAAAAATTTGTACTTGCCTGCGGGATTCGAACACCGTTGCATCGCTCACCACGAATGCACCAGACGTCTTTATCCTTTAGGCCACGACGACTTCAAGTTGCGTAATTACTATACAATTGAGATTTAGACCAAAGTACCAAGGTATGAATGCATTTAGATTGTAATACTTAATAAGAGATAGTCCGTGAGAGTTCACTTATGTAGAAAAAGAATACATTTGAAGATGTTTCTGGAAGAAGCATGTACGAGCGGTGTGAAGTGAGTGTAACGTGCTTAGAGCAGCAGAGAAAGGGGTTCGAAGGCGGTATGTGGGTCAGGGCGGATGTTCAATAAACAAAACTGTATCGACATGATCCTCTTATATAATGTTTCAACTGTGGAAACACTTGTCAATAAATATTGTCTGTATATATCGGACTCATATTCTTATTATTATTTATAATCGGACAAAAATTTGAACCTCACGTTTTTTGTATGTTTGTTGAATTATAAGATGCAACGCTATTTTATTGTATTCAAATTTTTTTTCTCACAGCATCAGAACTTGGCATTCCTTTGATGAAATTTTACAAATGTTCATATTGTATATTCACATTCGTATTGTGATATCTGTGGGCTACGGTAACCGCTTAATACCAAATACGACGTAAGCTCGTTCACCTAACTGAACAATAAATAAAAAAACTTGCCTACCCGATTTTTTTGTTTTCAAGTACATACGTTGAATATTAAAGTGAAACAGAAAACCGCTACGAGCTACGTGCGCTGCACTCTACGCCGTAGCGGGTCGGTCACCGCACCCTCTACGCGCCGACACCTCGTAAACGGAAACTAGGTTCCGTCCGCATTATCGACTGTTTCAGAACTTTTTTTATACGTAGTGGAGTTTTTTATGATGCAGTATATTAATTAAATGAGTATTTGTATTGTTTTACAGAGGTTCATTGAACCTTTTGTTTCGAGGTAATTAGCTAACTTTGTGTGGTTCATTGAACTGTGGTTATTATCTTTGACTACTACAGTTTGTTTGTCTGGGATTGGGTTTTATCATCTACATAAATTAGAAATTATATTATGATTTTAGTGTATTAGTTGTTCAACGAATAATCGATAATCGACCTTAACCACTGACGCCTTCACATTTAAATTCGTTTTCTGTATTACATTTACTCTCTATATAGGTTCATGGGAATTTAGCCTTTAGAGTATTACAATAAACACAACAAAAAAAATATATTCTTTGTATCAACTGTTTTTACCCTAATACCCTTCGTTTAATTATCATATCGAGAAGTGAAAAGCTATTTGGTTTGTTTAGGCGACATTTTTGAAATTTTACAGGAGAGCCATTTCAAGTTTAAAGTTTTGGAAAAAATATAATGAAAAAAAAAAGAACTTCTTCAGCTATTGGAACGTTGTAAACATGATTGAAGTTCGATTGAAAACATCGAATTCTTGATCGTGATACCAAATAAAACGCACCTTTGATTGGTTATGCAATTTTGAAAAGGGCACATCTCTGAAAATGTAAAATGTTCTGGAATGAAAAAAAACTGATTATTTTCTAAAGCAGTGTAAAATTTAAAATATTAACTTTTGAGATAT